AGTTTGCTATTGGTTCTTACTGCGCCATAATAACATTGAAATAACGTGCCATGTCTGTTTGGTGTAGTTTCCCTAAAATTATAATTTTCTTGTTTGAAACACCGTTGAATGCATGCATCTTGACATGTTTTTTCTTAAATTTACTATTATATGGTTGTCCTATTCTCTGCGAACGCTTGCGTGGCATCTTTATCAGAAGAATAAGAATAATAATGATAATACTTAATAGAGTTGCAGTATGTGGTTTGCACTTATGCTTGGCTAAGAGAAGTAGGTAATCAATTCTCACCAACTTCACATGCTTTGCTCCTGGACCACTATATAAGACCAGGGATCATTTTCCTACATACTTTCATCAACTAATGGTGATGATAAATATATTTTCGCTAAATTTATCTTATTTTATTTTTCGATTAGAGAACACATAAAACCTTCTTTTAAACTTTGTCCTTATATATTAATATTACATAACCATTTTAATCATGAATATTCTTTTACAATATCAGATATCAAATATCTCAAATTTAGCTGCATAGTCTAACCATTTTGGAATACATTTTTCATATTTTAATTCTCTAATATCAACTTCAATTGAGTAGTTACTTACCAGTTTACTTATGTGATTTATCAGTCTTCTTTATAAATATCTAAATCAAGTTTTAATATTACCTTGTCAAAAAAATTATAATAATAAATTATAAAAAGACATTATTTAAAAAACTCAGATAAATCAATATTAATCAAAAATATTTTGGTGTTCAAATAAATCCTTCTTAAGAACATTTTGTTTCATGTGATATGATAACATCATGGTAATAATAAATAATAAATTAATATTAGTGTATAAAAAATAAAATAATATTTATAAGACTTTTATTCGAATATTTTGGAGTTTAAAGGAGTCAATATTAGAAACACTTTGAAATTTTCATATGATGATAACATTATATATGGTAATACTAAATAGAAAAGTAATATTAATGTATAAAAAATTAAAATAATAATATATTTATTTAATATTAATTATTATGTCTTTAATATAATATTGAATATAATTGAATAATTAAATATATTTATTGAATATTATAATAAACATTTAAAGGATATAATTAAAAAAAGTCGGTTAAATATAATAAATACATACATGCGATAGGTTGCACCCAAAGATCAAATTCATAAATTTCAAACAATTTATTTGTCATTGTAAGGGGAAAGTTACGTACAATTATATTTCCCTTAGAAATTTATTTGTACTTTAAAAAGAAAAAATAAATAAGAAAGAGTGAGAAAAAAAAAAAAAAAAAAAGAGATGAGAGTCCGAGGATTGAACAACAAGAAAAAGAGAGAATAAATGGTATTCAGGAATTGTTTGGCTCAGATTTTTTTTTTGGGGGTTTTCTTCCGTTAAAACGCTTTTAAAAAAAAAAAAAAAAGAACAGAACTCATGCTTTACAAAAGAAAAAGAAAGTGCTTATATTTTTTGGATTAAAGAAAAACTGTGGAGATTTAAAAAATGAACCATTAATGTATAAAAATTAATCATATAATAATATCAAATTATAAATTTAAGGTAGGAATAAAATTAATCAATATATTTCCACTGTGCCGTTATCTTGTTCGAGTTTAGATAAAGTATAAATCATAAATTAAATATATTGAAAATAAGGAATTAGAAATATCGTATGTATTAGTAATTAGGACATAATCTAAATTATATTAAATAAAAAAGAGTTTTATAAAATTATATTTAGAGGAATGAATTTAAAGGTTAATAAAATAAAATTAAGAATCACAACCTCTATCTTCGGAAACATTGGAGTAAGATATTAATTTATTTCCCTAAAGAATAAATTCTAGTTTTGATTAGATACAAAGAGATTTTTTTTTTTTCAATTTCTTTAACTGTATTGGTCAAAATTAGATTAATGGTATGGTTTTAAAAAGTTGAAGAGGAATAATATAAACAGTTAGAGTAATGACACTGTAGGAAGAGATTCTTTTTTAAATTATGTGTGAAATAAGCAAATTATAATTAGGTAAATATTGATGAGAATATTTTTATTATAGCAATAACGAATTACAACGAAAATACTACAATAATTCACCTCATGCGTATGAGTTTAAATATATGTTTCTTCATAATTATATTATAATTTTTTACATAAATAATATATTTTAAGAAAAAAATATTTTTTTTATCAATTTATATATCCAATGTTACAGAACTGGCTTGCATTTTAATTCAAAGATATAAAAAATGGAAAAGAAACAAAATTTATCTGTAATAATCTTAATAATATATGCGTGTTTGTTATATAATTTTTCAAATCCTTTGGTTTTCTAATTTAGTACATAAGAATAAACTGTGATTGATTAAACAGGCATAAAATATTATTATTATTATTATTATTATTATTATTATTATTATTATATATATATATATATATATATATATATATATATATGGAGACAGTGGTTAGATATCTTGCCTTGATTTACTCAATTCATGTAGTAAAATAATTGTATTTAATTTTCATCTATTAATTCATCATAATTTCAGGACATAAAAATATGTCACTAATATCATCAATAGACAAATGTATTCATATATAATAAATAAACAAATAAATAGTATTTATTTATAATTATATAATAATCTCGTGATAATAGTTTTAATAAAATAATATTTATATTAAGAAATTAAAAAAACTTTAAATATATCTAAAAAAACTTGATTTTATTTATAATCACATATATTATTTAAATTTGGAAATTGACTGAAATTTTTAATATATTTTTTAAATTGTTTTTAAATGTGTTAAAATAGAAATATATAAAAATTCTCTAATACTTCAATCAATGAATAAACAAGTAATATTAATAATTTTTTTAAAAGATAATCAATCTATGAATATAAGTACATAGTATAAAATATTTTATTCTTATTTTATCTATTACGGATATGGGGTAGGTCCAATCACTAAAATCATATCTGACATTTGTTGTATTTATTTGGATTATAAAATATTTGTGAAAAAGAGATACGCAATGAGCAATAAGGAGACAAATCGTATCGATCCATGCATTATATCAACTATCCATCAAGTCAGGTTAACGATGAGAGGGCCCGAAAAGGATACTTCTCTTACTCAATTTCAGAAAACTCAACGAAATAAAATCTCAGGATAAAGGTTCTTAGCAATCTCACCACACCTATTTATATAAAAACTTTAATCATTATATATTCAACATGACATTTTTGTTATATTATTAATTCATTTACAATTTCAACTAAATAATAAATTATGACTAAACAGTGTAAATTGTATAGTATATTCCTTTTATATATAATTTAGTTTTTTTTTTCTGTTTCACATATTAATTTGAATTACTACTATCATACGATTAAATAATAATTATTATAATTTTATTGGAAGATATAAAATTGAAAAACGAGAATATATATATACATATAATCTTATAATGTGATTAACATTAACTGTACTAATGCTTCAAAAATATTTATTACTAAATTAGAGGACACTCTATAAAAAAAAAATTAGTATTTTATATAATTTTTGTAGCCTTCACAAATTTAGAATTTCGGATATCATGAATTTTAATAAATCTATAGATTTAAAAAAAAAGGTTTTGGTTTGGGGTTACTAAAAAGCTAATAATAAACATTTTTGTATTCTTAAGAGAACATTAATTACTTATTTATATATTTATGTTTCATTAATTTAATCATACATTTTTCTGTTGGCTACGACAATATTACTAAACAACAAATGGTCGTCACTAATTTCAAAAGGTTGAAATGCTATAATAGTATATGTTAGTCTATTAAAGTCGTGACTAACAAAATTGACGCTAACCTTTCATTACATGTACAGTTAAAACAGGGCGTGGTTCAATAATATTGCTTAAACAAACTTGTTTTAGAAACATAGGTTAAAATTAATGTCAACAAAAAATATATTGTCATAATAAGAAATACATTGTTGTCCTTTGAAGATTGAAAACATGTATTGACCATATAAGACATAATTATAGACAACTTTATATAATTATCTGAAACACTTATCATGTAAGTCCCTACATAATCTACCATTTTTAGCACTGGTTTGCAATAATGTCCTTCCAAGTGATGCGATTAAAAATTGTTCAAATATAAAACTTGATTATAAGCGTAAAGATGTTCATAAACGTCCATAGTAAACAAAATTGAAAGATGCGAAGCTTGTGGTGAGGATGAAAGCGGCTACATAAACAGAAAGTGATGTATAAAACAAGAGGGTGAGTTCTTTGTGTGCTTTGTTAGTGTACTATTGTGGAGGAGATAGAAGATGTTTCATTTTTCTTATTGTTTATGAGTAATAAATGGCTTGACTTTTTTAATCAATGAGTTTAATACCTTCTCTTTCGATTGTGATTTCGTGTATATATATTGGGAGAATTTACAACTTAATACGAGACACAAAGACAATTCGTGAAAAAAATATTTTTTAAGATACATAGAGATTGATTTATCCCAACTATTATTTTATTTTATATAGACTTAAAGTAAACTAACAAGTTGGATTATGCACCACCTGCCCCACGTTTTCCTTTTATTGGGCAAAGGTGCTTCCACCTACAATGGGACATCACTCATCGATGTGATACAATCAAAATAACAAAATACAGCATATAGTTCTGCAAAACAGTTGAGAAATTATTTCCAATAGCTGTAAGAATAGTGAGGAATAGGTTCTTAGTAACCATTATATCGGATATTTTCTTTCCACGCATATAAATAGAATAAACTAGAGTTAAAAAAGTACGCCTTATTTCTTTATGGAGGTTGCAGAACCTGAACATATCTAAACAATTGGTGTAGTGCATTAATCAAGACACCTTGGTATGGTCTATATAAGTAGGACATATCCTGTGTCCTCTTGTCAACAGAAGCAAGTGGCATCTCGTTTGAGGACACATCAGTACATGTTATCGACAACATGCCTTCTTCTTCTTCTCCTCGTTGTGATGATGCACTTACCATCCTCTCAAAATGCACTGTTGTGCCAGACCAAGATTCCACTCTCGGAGATCTAAAGCTCTCTATCTCAGACCTTAACATGCTGTTGTCTCACTACATCCAAAAGGGGTGTCTCTTCTCCACCCCATCTATCCCCGCTCACACTCTCATCCCTCACCTCATCAACGCGCTTTCTCGCACGCTCTCCTTTTTTCCTCCCTTCGCTGGTCGTCTCAAAACTGACGTTCATGGCTACGTCTACATCTCATGCAACGATGCTGGCGTCGACTTCATCCACGCTACCGCCGTTGATATCTCCGTCACCGACCTCCTGTCAACGTCCGATGTTCATCCAACCTTCAACCGGCTCTTCCCTTTCCACCACAAAATTAGTTACACTGCTCATTCCTCCCCTATCATGGCCTTTCAGGTCACCGAGTTCGCTGACGGTGTTTTCATTGGTTGTGCTGTCTGCCACGCCGTCACCGATGGAGCCTCCTTCTGGAACTTCTTTAACACCTTCGCCGCAGTTTCTCAAGGAGCAACCGTTTGCCCCTCTATCCTCCCTGATTTTCGTCGGGACTCCATCCTCACCTCCAAGGTCGTGCTTCGGCTGCCAAAAGGTAATTATCAAATTGGTTTCAATTATTCGTTTGGTTCTATATAATTACAAAAAGGCATTATTTTTACCCTGGTCCTTAAAAATAATTTATATTAATCTTCAAACACATATATAAGAATTAAATAAGTAATTAAACTCAAAAGTTTAATACATTTAGAGAAAATTTAAATACAGTAAGAAATTGTACTGTTACTGACTTTTTAAAGTAGAAATCAAGGTCACCTTCAATGTTGACGCACCCTTTCGCGAGAGAATCTTCAGCTTCAGCCGCGAATCAATTCAGAAGCTGAAAGCCATAGTGAATAATGGTGGAACAAAATTTTCGTTGGAGAATGTCGAGTTGATGGCAAAGCTTAGCAACGATACTGAAGTGAAAACGGTTACAAGAGGCGTAAGTAACGAAACGAGAGAGATTTCGTCGTTTCAGTCGCTGTGTGCGCTGATGTGGCGGTGCGTTACTAGGGCGAGGAATCTGGAAGGGCCTCAAGTGACGACGTTTCGAATGGCAGTTAATGTTCGGCAACGCATGGAGCCAAAGTTGGGTGATCATTACTTTGGGAACGCGATTCAGACCATTGCCACGTGTGCAGAAGCGCGTGACGTGGTGTCTAGCGACCTTCCATGGTGCGCGGAGCAACTGAACAAAAGCGTGAAGGCGTTCGACAGCGCTACGGTGTGTCGCAACGTGGAGAATTGGGAGCGTGAGCCAAAGTGCTTCGAGTTGGGAAACCACGATGGCGCCACTGTGCAGATGGGAAGCTCGCCGAGATTTCCGATGTATGACAATGATTTCGGATGGGGGCGGCCCTTGGCCGTACGGAGCGGTGGAGCGAACAAGTTTGATGGGAAGATGTCGGCGTTTCCCGGGAGGAATGGCGGTGGTAGCGTTGATTTGGAGGTTGTTTTGGCGCCTGACTCCATGGAGCAACTTGGGTCTGATCCTGAGTTCATGTTTTATGTTTCCGGTTAGTCTGGACATGTGATGACCTTAGCTTTCATTGTGATGATGTTGTGAGACATTTAGAATGGTACTCTTATTGGTTCTGTCCAACTCCCAAAACTGGATTCAGTTGACAAAGCGTGGACTATATCTTGTCAAGATGTATAATGACAACACGTATTTTTATTGTATATTTCGTCAAAAATATATAATAAAAATTCGTTTCTGTTATGTGTCTCAACAAATTTGTCTTAAATTATATCATAAAATTATGTTTTTATTATGTTATTGGAGGGATCCATATGTATGTCATATGTTCCCGGTCTACTCTGTCTTTATGTTTCCTTTCTGCTTAGATTTCACTGAATAGAAAATATCTGAAAATTTTATTTTTCCAGCGTCTGTCCTTGTTACATTGCAGCAAAAAAGCAAATGATTATCTTCTGTTGAAATGGAAAAGACTTGGTCAAGGAAATAACCTCATTTCAATCTCATTGCGTGTTTCATTGTTCAAAGTATGGAATATTTGGATTGGAAAGACATTGCCCTTCCAAAATCTGAATAGACATTCATCCTTTAGCTGCCATCACCATATCCTAAATGCTTGAAGTTGATTCAAATGTTGGGCATGTATTCTAACTGTAAAGAAAGAAAACGTTAAAAGAAAAATACCACTATGTTTCTTTTTAAATACTTTTTATTTGTGGAATTATTAATAATTATAACCATAATTTTTTATTTTTTTCTCGTTAAAACTCATATGCAAAACTTTTTTGTGTTATTTTACCTATGTTATGATTTAGAGTTTCATTATAATATCAATAACTCTTATAATAAAATAAAACTCCACGTTAAATCTAGGCTAACATATAATTTTACATTCACAACAAATATATTATACACCAGTGCCACGTATTTATTATTTGACAAGTTTTAATATTATCGTTCATTCAAAATTATAAAAATACCAAAAACTTAAATTTAATTTAAATGTGATAAAATATTTTAAAAACTTAGCAAAATTATATTCGATTAAAAACAAAGAAGTATCTTATGCGGCACATTATCGGTACACAGAAGTTCAAACTATTCATAATATAGGGTAATGAGAATTTTTTTTTTTCACAATCCATTCCAAATAAACATCTTCTAGATATTTTTTTAGGTGAGATAGAAAGTTAGAAAAAAATGAGAATGTACATAATTTTATTATTTGTATTATATTAATAAAAATAGTTATTGAATGAATATTTTTTAGTGTTAGATTGTGTATATATCATTTTTTTTTGTAAATGCTATTTAACAACTCGTAAGATATCTTTACATTTAAATGTGGTTTAGTATATATGCTATCAAATCTTTTGCTATATATAGGTTTTTTTTTTTATCTAACATGGTTAAAAATACTTTAATTTTATGTAAATGGGTTATTTTTAAAAATTTTACGTAATGTATATTTTTTTTAATTAATATATGACTATAATTATATTTAATTATAACTTTATATATTTACTTTATAATCAATTTTTAGGTATACTTTTTAATTTTTTTCCAATATATAATATTAAATTTAAAGTATATAATGAGTACATTTTTTTAATAGCATGATTTCAGTTTAAATTAAAAAAAAACTACATGACGAAGACATGGCACGACTTAATCTATGTAAAATTTTAAAAAATGCTCATTTACGTAAAATCAAAATATTTTTGACGGGTTTGATAATAATAATAATGATAATAATAAAACTATTTATATAGTTTAATTTATCAGTGCGCACATCTATCAAAGTAGTAGATAATATTTAGCTTACACCAAGAAGATTTTATGAGAATAATATAAAATTGTGTTTTTATATATGTTATTTTGACCTTTTTACGTTAGAAACAAATTCAATACTAATACGAAATATGTAAATTTACGTCGGACCTAAGGGTAATCAATATAAATTTGGGGTAGCCAACGTAAATTTTGTCTTGTTTTTTTTTATAGTCCAGATATCATATTTCGATAAACAATAATTCAAATATACAATATAATATAAATACAAAAACTAATACAAAAATCAAGCTACATAAATGTTAAAGTACGTAATACAATACAAACTAGAAATGTTAAACGAAAAAACCTTATTATTTTATAATATCATGTCTTGACAGTGGAGATAAATGAATATTAAAATATTTGAAACATTAATTTGACTCCAGTTAACATGTAAAGGTAAATGAACTTAACAAATGTTGAAAATAATTTTCTCTGGTTATACCCGCATAAAATTTTGTGTATTACATGGGCATAGGAGCATATTTTGGAAAAATTGTTATGACAAATCTCCTTTGAAAATTTATCCCATCTTGTTTGTTTTTTTCTCTTCGTTTTGATATGTTGTGCGTCCGAATCCGACATCCAAATCAAAAGTTATCTTGTTTCATTCTTTTTTTTTTCATAATAAAATCCTAATACACAAACCAACAACAACCTAAACCTCCAGTATACAAATTACAATAATAACAACAAAAAAGTAGGATTCAAACGCATAGAACGTTAACTACAACAGTTCAACATCAATAACAATTCAGTAAAAACATTCAATTTCAACATAACAGAGGAGACAAAACACATAGAACACTAACATCAAATATATAAAAAATGTTGTAAAACTCAAATTCAATAAGAGAGAAATGTCAACCACCACAAATAGGACACAATGAAAATATTTTCGTCACTCACTATGGTCGAAATATACCTTGAGAGGAGCTAGTCATCGTTGTTCTTGTTGTCATTATAAAAAACTCTTATTGCGCGAGATGAGAGAGTGATGCATGAATAAAATAGAACGCGATTTTACGTTGGACCTATAAGAGACCCACGTAAAAGAGGTCTTTTACATTGGACCTTTATAGGTTTGACATAAAAATTGGTCCAACTTTTAACGTCGGACCTATAAAAGGGTGACGTAAAAGAGGTCTTTTACGTCGGATCCCTATTGGTCCGACGTTAAAGACCATTTTTACGTCACCCCTTGGGTCCGACGTAAAAATCTCGTCCAATATTTACAAAATTAATAATGTATTTTTATTAAGTTGATTATTTTTAAATTTGACGAGAATTAGATCACGTAAAAGAGTCTTTTTCACCCGTGTGAGAAGGTTAAATATAGAGTTGGATAGAATTTAAGCTAGTTATTACAATCAATAAAAGACATGATACATGCACCGTATAATACATAAATAAATAATATATACTGTTTTAATTATTTATAATCTAAAGTTTGCATGCATGGGGCACCTTGAAGTGAAAAAAAGGTGGAATTTCACAGGTTCTGGTAGGAGTTAGTCTTATAATTAGGTTATCGTCCATATGGTGGTTAATCTTTCTCTGATACGAGCGTGTTCTGATGCCTTTGCTTTAGGCTCTATCTTCTTTAGCGGGGATGTTCTGCCAACTTTAGTGGTGGAGGTTGCACGTCACTTCATGTATATTGAAACACAGAATAATGGTCCCTGTTACATTCTATATACTCCAAATGTTAATGGTTGGAAAGAAGATTTCATTGTTCCCACCACAAGAGGGTCTTCAATGATCAGAACAATCCACGTTAGGGAGATATTCTCACTGTACTAGCTAGGACAAATATCAGCTCATTTATTGAAAGATTTTTCTCATGTAAATAACAGAAGAACTATATATCAATTTAAGGGGTAGAAATCATCAAAATTAGTGTCTGTCTCTACTTATTAATAATGTTTGTTGTACACACAATGAAATTAGACAATAATTTATATATTTAAGAGATTGTATTATTTGTTAAGTTTGCTATTGGTTCTACTGAGTCATAACACTGAAATAACGTGCCATGTCTGTTTGGAGCAGTTCCCTGTATGAAATTCTCCTGATTAGCATTTTCCTGTTTTAAACACCTTCCAATGCATGCATCTTAACATTTTTTTTTCTAAAATTACTTTTATGTATGTTTTGTCCTATTCTTTCTCCAAACCGTTTATGGCATCTTTACAAGAACAATGATAACAATAATTGTTATAGGCTTTCAGATTCTGGTTCACACTTATGCTTGATTAAGAGAAATATGTAATCAATTCTCAACAACCTCACATGCTCTGCTCCCGGACCACTAGATGAGACCAAATATCTTTTTCCTACATCAACTATCCCCTACCAGGCTGGTCTTAGCGAATTATATACCATTCAATACATTTCAGTTCACAAACAGTTGTTGCCATAGAGTGATACTCAGAAGAGCGAGATACAATTTGTTACCTCTATGTCTTCGAGGAGACAGGGAACAATGAATTCAAACACTACACAGATTGTAAATGTAAGAGATAATCTTGTAATTATCTCTGGAATTGTTCCACGGGTGAAAATAAAAAAGAAGAAACAAATTGTTTCAATTCTATAGTTGTCGTTGTTCTTCTCTTTGTCATCTTTACCATACGTTAGATTTATGAGACTCATTTGAGTTTTGGCATTTTCATGTTAGTATAACCCAGCGTTGCTCTGATACCATGAAGAAATTGTTAGAAAAGTAGTTTTAAATCAAGAGGGGGGGTGAATTGATTTTTGAAAGTTTTTCGCAATACACAGATTATCTAATTCGAAAATTAAGATTACTTATCAATTCACAAATCACAAAGCAATCAAACAGTTTAAGTGCAGCAGCAGAAATTAAAGAGAGAAAGGTTAGGAGAGATTTCACCGGTAATTTTATACTGGTTCACCCAATACCGGGGCTACGTCCGGACTCCAGCCAAATTCCAGCTGGGTTCCACTAGAATAGATGTTTTACGAGACTCACCCTCTTACACCTATTCTAACTCTCCACCAAGAACCAAATTCCAGCTCTTGGAAACCTCTGCAACCAAATTCCAGCTAGCAGAGAAACCAGGTGCCCAAATTCCGGGCACCACACACAAGAACCAAATTCCAGCTCTTGCTTTAACCTTTCCACCAAGAACCAAATTCCAGTTCTTGGCAACTTTCTACAACAGTTGCAGAAAACTTGTACCCAAATTCCAGGTACAAAACAAGTACAAATGAATGAATAGAAATTTAAAAGAAGAAACAAAGAAAGCTCAAACCGGATTACACCAATCCACGATCAGTTTCTTCTTCAAAGAAATGCAAAGTGCCTCAAGAAAGATTTCAAAAGAAGTTCACAAAAACAGTTGTGTATCTTTCTTGAAAAATGCTAATAGTTGCTTGTATTGATTGCTTGAATTGTGTCAAAGCTGATATGATAAAAGTTCCAAGCAATTACGTTTATAAAAGAGTATTTTCAAATCTGCTGCATTAATCTGTTGAAAGTTTGTTTTAATCTGTTGAAATAGCCGTTACAATCTGTTAAAAGTCCTTTCAACCCATTAATGCGTTCTTGATCTTTAACGAGAAAATGTTTTAGTTGATACGACCACGTTTTTATCAGTTAAAGCGTTTTACAAACATTTTCTAAGTATAAAACAATCGATTGAATCACGTATTAATCGATTGATTTGTTTAAAAACCTTCTTATAAAACTTTCTAAGTTATTTTAGGCTGATATAAAGTCGTTTCAATCGATTCAAAATCTGCACATATATTTTCAAGTCATTTTAATCGATTGAAAGTTCGTTTTAATCGATTGAAAAGATTTTCTAAGTTATTCTAATCGATTGAAATGCGTTTTAATCGATTGAAATAAGTCTGATCGGTCATAATTCAATTCTGATCGATCATAACCAACTACGATCGGTCATAATCTCATTCTGATCGATCATACTGACATCCAAAGTGATTTTAATCGATTGAAACGTGTTTTAATCGATTAAAATAATTCTAATCGCTCATATTTAAGATCTGATCGATTATATTGCATTCTGACCTATTATATTCGAATTCTAATCGGTCATAAAGAGTTTTAATCGATTAAAAGAAGTTTGTATCGATTAAAATATTGTAAAAACACTTTTTAAAACATTCTAAGTGTTTTAAATTGATTCTTTCAAACCTGTATCAGTTAATAACTTGTTTAAGAAAATTCTTTGCCAAAATGCTTTTGTTTTTTATTTGTTAAAAGCTGTTTTTGAGGCATTTTGCAAGATGAGTGAAGAAGCTTTATGCGGTGGAAAAGGTAAAGTGGTTTTACCTAAGCTTTACGTTTAGACACACTAAGTCTTCGGCTCCTTTGTTACGAGTGACTTGTTTGGCTAGCTGCAGAGTTGACCCTTGACTTTATCTTTGACTTCATCAAATCAATGAGATCTTTGCTAGGATCACTTTCGGTCTCCCCTATTTGATGAAGACAAACACCATTTTGAAAAAACAATCTCTGCAAAATAAGTCACTTGATAATGCGGTTAGGTGAGAAATATAAGAATGTAATAAAGTTTTGTTTCTCCCCCTAAAACTTATTTCTCCCCTAAAATGTTGTTCTTAAATTTATCTTAAAGTGATGCAACTATTTCTCCCCCTTTTGACTTCATCAAAAATAGGGAATAGAAGAGAGAAGAATGTAAGGTTTCGAAAAATATGCTCAAGTTTTTGAAAATACAAAAGTGAATCAATATTTCACTCATGAAAAGAATCAATTAAAGTTGATTCAAACTTTATCTCCATTAACACGTTTGTAATGAATACAATTAACACGTGTAAAGATAAGGGAATCACGCTTTAGTAGCATGTTTACAGAAACGACCATTAACTAAAGCCTTTAATCTTTCTTCCTAGAATAAAAATCGATTAAAAACAGAGCATAATCGGTTAAAATGTTCTTGGTAAATGATTCTAATCGATTGAAAGAAAAGTTTAATCGATTAAATCATTTAAGATTTTGAAAACATGAAACTTTAGTAAAAATAATCGATTATTTCGATTTTAAATCGATTAAAACGAGTAATGAAAACTGTTGTTTAAGTTTATTTAACCGATTAAAAGGTGTTTTTATTGACTAAAACAACCAGACTTGCACTCTAAGTAATGTTTGATGCATCTAAGATGCCTAACTCAGTGCGAATTTTGAAAAACCTATCACGAGCAAGGGGTTTTGTGAAAATATCTGCTAGTTGTTTTTCAGTTTCTATAAAAAAGATTTCGCAATCACCTTTTAAAATATGATCTCTAATAAAATGATGCCTTATTTCTATATGCTTTGTTCTAGAATGTTGAATCGGATTTTTAGTTAGCATAATGGCACCGGTATTATCACACAAGAGAGGAATTTTTCTCGGAATTAAACCATAATCCTCAAGTCTGTTGTTTTATCCAGAGAGATTGAGCACGAGCAACTTCCAGCTGGCAATATATTCCGCTTCAGCTGTAGACAATGCAACACATGACCGCTTTTTGCTGTGCCAAGAGATTAGACCGCTTCCTAGGAGATGACAGAGTGCCATTGGTGCTTTTTTGTCAAGCTTACAGCTGCAAAATCGAGTCAGAATATCCAACTAAATTTAGTTTTGACTCACCGGATACCATAACCCAACATTTAAAGTCCCCTTGAGATACTTGAGGATCCTTTTTGCAGCAGTAAGATGAGACTCTTTTGGTGCAGATTGGAACCTGGCACACATACAAACACTGAACATAATGTCGAGTCTCGCTAGCTGTTAAATACAGATACGAACCAATAAGCCCCCTATACTTGGTTTCATCAACAGATTTCCCTTTTTCATCGGAATCAAGGTAGCAGTTGGTGGACATAGGTGTTGATGCCTCCTTGCGGTGTTCCATCTCAAATCTCTTCGACAGTTACGTGCAGTATTTGGATTGATGAAGAAAACTTCCTTCTTGAAGTTGTTTGACTTGTAGTCCAAGAAAGTAGTTAAGTTCCCCCATCATAGACATTTCAAACTCACCCTGCATGTCTTTCATGAAATCTTTGCATAAAGTCTCATTAGTAGCACCAAATATGATGTCATCAACATAAACTTGAACCAGAATTATATCTTTATTCAGTTTCTTTAGAAACAAAGTTTTGTCAACCAAACCTCTTTGATATCCTTTTGAAATAAGAAAGTTACTTAACCTTTCATACCATTGTCTTGGGGCTTGTTTGAGACCATACAGGGCTTTCTTCAACCTGTAAACATATTCTGGATGAATATGATCTTCAAACCCAGTGTGGTCGAAAAACTTCTTCATTCAAATATCCATTCAAGAAAGCGCTTTTGACATCCATTTGGAACAACCTGAAATTTTTAATAGAAGCATAGGCAAGCAGTAATCTAACGAGCTTCTAACCTAGCAACTGGAGCATATGTTTCACCAAAGTCTATCCCTTCTTGCTGATTATACCCTTTAGCAACTAATCTGGCTTTATTTCTAGTGATTATGCCATTTTCATCCATTTTATTCCTAAAAACCCATTTTGTTCCTACAATGTTAGCATTATCTGGTTTTGGAATTAATTCCCATACCTCATTTCTGGTAAATTGGTTTAACTCATCATGCATGGCATTTATCCAGTTACTGTCCTTTAATGCATCAGTTATGTTTTTGGGTTCTACTTGAGATACAAATGCCATATGATTGCAAAATTTATTAAGAGATCTTCTGGTAGAAACTCCTGTTTTATTTCTCCAATGATGTTATCAATTGAGAGGTTCCTGGGAGCTTTCCATTCCTTGGGCAGTTCCTCTTCAGATTCTTCAATCTCTTCAATTTGTTGATGTGATACTGTTAGTTTCGCAGTTTTAACCGATATATTTTATCAGTTAAAACATCTTCTTCTGCACAATATTCAGTACTTTTCCGCATACTTGGGTCAGTCTCATCAAAAATAACATGTACTGATTCTTCTACTGTTTTTAACCTTTTGTTAAAAATTCTATATGTATGGCTATTCAATGAATATCCCAAGAATATACCTTCATCAGATTTGGAATCGAATTTTCCAAGATTTTCTTTTCCATTGTTTAAGACAAAAACTTTACTTCCAAATACTCTGAAGTAGTTTATATTAGGCTTTTTCCCTTTGAATAATTCATAAGGGGTTTTCTTAAGAAAAGGTCTGATTAAAACACGGTTTAGTACATGGCAAGCGGTGCTTACTGCATCAGCCCAAAAATATTTAGGTAATGCCTTCTCATTTAGCATTGTCCTAGCTAGTTCTTCAAGAGAACGGTTTTTTCTTTCCACTACACCATTCCGTTGAGGAGTTCTAGGAGCAGAAAAGTTATGTTTGATGCCATGTTTATCACAGAATTTATCAAATTTTTCGTTTGAAAATTCTCCCCCATGATCACTTTGAATGC